CGGTCACCCTTGGTGATCACGGCTGTCCCATCCATCGGAATGCTCATCTTTCCTGCCAGGTACCAGGCCTCCTTGCGCTCATCATAGCGATAGATGTTAGAGACATACCGCCTTGGGGCAATGCTTCCACCCACGGAGTACACTGTCCCCCCGCAAGTCACCATGGTGTGGAAAACAAGCCCAATTGGGAGGTCAGGCAACTTGGTCCAGGAGTTGTCATCCATGTCATACCGCCAAGCTGTCTTCAGACCTGAAATCTGCTCAGTGGTGCCACCAGAGATGTAGATGTAGCGACCAGCAGAGGTGGCGCTAAGTGCTGCTGCCCGGTAGGGCATCTCTGAGAGCTTCAACCACAGGTTCTCCTGTATGATATAGGCAAATACTCCATCATTGAACTTGCCCTGGGCCTTTTGGCCACCTAGGATGACCACCGAATCAAGCAGGGCCCCTTTCCGCTGGTAGCTCAGCAGGCTGCATGGCTTCTCCTGCTTGCGGTCCACGAGGACACTCTCAATCATGGTTGCGTGAGCTGAGCTGTTCTCCATTCCCATCAGTTTGTTGCAGGCAAATGTCAGTGTCTTGTTGGAGACGGCATTAAGATTGATGTACATGAAGAACTTCTTGAAATACTTCTCCCGCTCATCCTTCCGAAAGTACACCCAATTGATGAGCGCGCTGAGAGCCTGGTCCTCATTGAGCACGTGCAAGTTTTCATCTCGAAGCAGGCGGCCAAAGATGACCGGTGGACAGCGCATGAAGTGCACGGAGCCCTCAGGACTAACCCAGTAGTGGAAGTTGTCACGAATGCCCGAGTAGGCCAAGTCTGATACCTCTTTGAGCTCAAACAACTCGGCCAAGAAGAGGTAGTGCAAGCAGTTGGCACGACGGATGGACTTAATCAGAAAGTCACTGCAGTGGATTCGAAGGCGTGGTGTGTTGAAATACTGGGCCCCACGCAGGAGTTCCTCCACATTCTGCTCTGAGATCACCACCTTGCCACTGTAGAAGTAGTCCAGGAGCTGCTCCACTGTGGTGGGACTCAGGTAGTTGGGGTCAATAGTGATGAAGAGCTCATTGGTGGTCTTCATGTCGTTGCTGGAGATGAGGCTCTTCACGAGTGGAGAGACAGCAGCCAGCACATTTTGATGTGCAAAGAAGACGTGGTGATCCACAGTCAGGGCCATGTCCCAGTACTCTTTCCGTTTCCTCTGTTTGTTCAGGTTCTGTAGCACAAAGCTGTTGTAGTTTTTCTCAGTGAATTCCAATTTCATGGTGCTTTCTTGCTGTCTGAGGCAGAAGAGCAGCAGCAGGTACTGGAGAACAGACTTTCTCAGGCCTTTGGGATTCAAATTGATGGTTGTTTGTGGAGCAGTTGATCAGGGAGGAGTGGGTGTGGGAGAGAGGATGATGTCATAGAGTGGATGAGGTCATCACAATGCAGGCCCCCTCTGAGGCCTTTCTCCCCTCTTATGGCTCCAACCTGCCAAGACCAAATTCCCTACTAGGACCTAGTGCCGGGGGCCCAGTGCCCAGTGCTGGGACCTTCAAACCTCAATTTAAGGCTGCTTCTGGAATGTCAGAGCCACTTTGGATGGGGGTGGTGTAGGGAGGGATAAGGAAGGCGGGGGAAGGAAAAGGATTATTAGATCGTCTAGAACAGTGGTTCTCAACCTTCCTAATGCCGCGACCCTTTAATACAGCTCCTCATGTTGTGAAGACCCCCAACCATAAAATTATTTTCGTTGCTACTTCATAACTGTAATGTTGCTACTGTTATGAATTGTCATGTAAATATCTGATATGTTGGATGTATTTAGGTGACCCCTGTGAAAAGGTCGCTCGACCCCCAAAGGGGTCGCGACCCACAGGTTGAGAACTGCTTGGTCTAGAAGAATCCTCCCAGTGTACAGGAGGGAAACAGACCTAGAGAAGAGAGGTTAATAACGAGTTGGGAGCAGAGCAGGACCCAGAATCCATCCTCTGTAACTTAGGACTCTTTCCACTCTCCCAGGCGTCTCCTAACTACTCAGCTCTCCCCGTCTCTGGTTCTTAGGCCTTGACGTGTCTTTCTTGGGCAAGGCTCCTGGGCATCAGAGAAGAAAAGCTCTGACGTTTGTGGCGGGAGATGCCATTCCTTAAAATAGAGGAAGAGATGGAGGCCGCTCACTGATGCAGGAGTTGGCAGGGTCCTGGGGGATGGGAGGGCCTCCGAAGCCTGGTTATTCCAGTTCCACAGCAAACTGGGACACTCACCCCGCATTTCCCAGTCTCTCTTTGTAAACTGTTGGCGTCTGTCATGGGTCAGCTCTCTCCAAGTTGCCCATTCATGTGAGATGGGAATTATAGCACCTGCGTCAGAGTATTGAGTTAACATGAGAAACTCCTTTAAGTGAGAATGTTAAGCACGGTGCTTGGCTTGTAGCAAACGTTCAGTAAATGCTAGCCGTCGTTATTTTATTAATATCACATTAGTC